AAACTTATCATATAATAGGAATAGAGAACCTTGACTTGACATGACTAAAGAATAGAAGAAGGACATTTATGTTTTTTATCAAATTATGTCATCCCTTAGGTCAACCCCTATGTTACCAAGATCCAATTTTCAAAGGATCTGACCTCTGACAAGTGATATCCATGCTCTAACAGGGTTGATGAGCTCAAAATATTCGAGAAGGAGCTTAAAATTTTCATGCTGATCCAAGGCCTTTGCATTTAATGATTATAATTGGTTTGATGTTGTTGTCAAGGGGGATTGCAAGCATGTAATTGTATTAAGAGACATGAGGTTGATTCGCCCGGAGCTAACCTCCGTGCTTAGCTCCCAGTGCTTTGCTGTAGTAAGCTAGAGGCTTGCTTACAGCATTAGAGCCGCACCTATCCCTCTGGTGTACAAAACCGAGCAGCATGTCCATTGTTGACTTTTCAATTCAAGTTGCGTTACAGAAAATGCTTGGCTTGCAAGATTTACCGGCCAGAAAAGGTGACGGTGGACGACAAGTGGGCACCGGAGAATCCTTGCTACTTTTGTGATATTTGCCATTACATGCTTCACTATGAAATTGGTTCTCTGCTGTACAGTGATTTCTCTGTTTATGATTATCATATGAATAGTTGTTTTAACAGTTATTGGTCAATGGAAAAGATTGTCTGCAATTTAGCTGTGAGCTGCAGTATTTTCCCTAACCTTGCAAGAAGTTATTCTGGTTGTGGAGAACCATTTAGCATGTACGTCACGCTGGTTGTCCTTCAAAGCTATTTTGGTTACAGAAGATCTACCGAAGAATTAAAAAAAAAAGTCAAAATCTTGTCAAATTGTCTGATCTTGTGTACCAAATACGAAAAGGAAGTGGTCAGCATCAAGAATATTTGTTAGCTGACATGTAAAACAATATGATTTCATTTACTGCCAGTTGATGGGGGGCATATGAATGTAATGTAATGTAAATGGTAAGATACCTAATAACAATCCTATCTAATCAATATCCTTTTATGTGAAATCTATAAGATTACAAGAAGAAATGGCAGAAGAAGTTATAGCCTATAGCCATGCAGATGTTTAGCCCATCTTCTAGCCATGAAAGGATCATGGTAATCCCAGCTCTCAACACTGCTAGTCCTTCCACATATGGGAATGGCATCTGCCCTATCATTTCTATCTCCTTTGTCCATTATGCCAACAACAGTTTCACCCGTCCTTACATGTTCGTCATCTTCACTGTCTATATAGCTAAACTTCAATCGAACATGTCCCGACTCACCCAAATATAATGGAATCCTCCTCTCCTCGCCACCTCTGAGTTCTCCGATCCTGACAACCCTAGCGCCTTCCCCAATCCTCAACTGGATGTCTCTGATTGCACCTCCTATAGTTCTTGCAAGGAATTCCTCGAATTCATGCATGATGAACCCATTTGAAGTGCCATATCCAAATCCTACATGAAATCGATGGATTTTAACCGGAATTTCCATGTCAAACCGATGATAGGATCTGCATGGATTGTCGGACAAATGCAGAATACATGACTCTGGGTTCTTGTGGACACGATCTTCTAGTATCTTTACGCCTTTCTTTAGCCCTTCCATTGGATCTGCTTGTCCCATATAAAATAACCGATCAATGACTTGTAAGGCTGTTCGCTTTCCATATGAAGTCATGAGCCTGAGGGGGAAAATGCGTGCTGCAGCAGATGAGTAGGTAACGATGGCCAACCTATCCATGGGGCGAAGTGAAGATACCACGAGCGCCATGGATTGCTTCATGAGCCTCAGGTGTGGCCCATTCGGGCTCGCAACTAAGACCAAATCAGTTGCGGGCTGATGTGCTAACTTTACACAAACATAAGCTCTGTTATTTGAGGAGCATTGAAAGGTATTTCCCCCAGTTGTGAGAAAATGTTGTAAGGCATGTGGTGATTCTGCCATTAGAGATGAACTTGACAAATGATGTTGTGATGGAACTAGAAAGAGATGGAGACGTGGCTGATCAGTCGTGTGGTCAGGCTCGATTGGATCGTCGTCATCATATCGAGCAGATCTTAAAAAGGATTGCCTGTGAACCCGAAAATTAGCAATTGAATCATCAAGGATCCTTAGAATAGGATCGGTCTTGTTGTAATGGAGGGAACAACGGGTATTTAGGTTGCGAGGCAGCTGAGTCCACTGTGCACGGCAAATTGGGCAAGTAACACTGCCATGGTTAACATTTGACGTGATGCATGCAAAATGGAATGAGTGAGAACACTGTGCTGTAAATATTGCCTGGCCTGGACTGCTGCCGGAGCTGTAATTTAGAGGATCGAGACATATTGCGCACAAGTTCTGCCAGAAAAGTGTGGGGAAATACGTAAGTTCTCTATAAGTTAAATGCTTGACACATAGGAAGATGTTTCGCAGTGATACTACAAGAAACAAAAGCATAAAAATCGCATACTAAAAAATTTGCGGGCAATAACACTATGTTTTTGAAGCAACCTTCATTAAGCAAATCAATGGATTCATATTGCTATACAAATATTATGTAACTTAGTGAAAGTATACAGAGGCAGGTGAAGTGTTTGATCATACAATCATGAATCATCTCTCCCAGAAGAACCCACCAATATCCTTTTCTTTATAATTGCCGAAGTACTGAGTTCCATGGAAAAGAAAATTTAGGGCACGGTTCAAAAGCTTCTTCTGTGAGTAATAAATTGCTTTTGAACATGTTCGGATAATTCTAGACGAGTCGGAAAGTTCTTCTACAAGAAGCAGAATCCATGACGAATTCCAGATTACTTTCAAAATTTAAAACTCGGTTGAGGACATTCACGGTAAATTACGAGGCATTAAATAAGAGAAGTAAATAGATTCAAAAATTCAAAATGTACTTGCTGTATACAGAAAATAGAGATGAATCCATGGCATTCTGATAAGGGAAAATGCTAATGTGTAAAACATATTAACCATAACTAAGATACCTTATTAGAAGAAGGGCAAGTGCTTGAATCAGCTTGCCCAATTTCTGAAGAAACTTTATTGCAAGAAAAATTCTTCTTCGGCTTTACGGAAGAAGAATTATTAGGCGAATCACAAGACCCCTATCAAAAAAAATTAAAGAAAAAAAATCAGAATTTATCTCGAAGTTCTAATTTAGACTAGAACAAAAATTGGGTATCTTAATCAAACAAAAATGGTGCAAAATCAGCACAGAATTCTTGGGGAAAGAGGGAGTTACTGTAGCAGCGGTGCTGGTGGAGTTATCAATTTGTTGTCTGTCGCCAAAAGAGCCACATGTCTGTACAAAAATTCTCCTGGCAACTTTCTTTAACTGGCATGATGCTCCTCCTCCTCTTCCTCTTCCTCCGCCCATCTCCACCACCACAACCACCTCACCGACAACACCCTTGAATTTTTGTGAACCAAAATTCTCCCTTGAATGGCAATGTATTGGATCTACAGTAGGAGACAAAAAGCTTACAGCTTATCTATCTCTGAATGTGTTCTTAGACTTCTCTCTTATGATTGAGACTGAGGGGATACTCCTAATGTATTTATAACAATAAGCACGTTGAAATTTTCATTATCATTTTTCCAATCATTTTCAATCACACATTCTTCAATAAAATAATATTTTTCATCACATCAATAATTTTTCCTTCTTTTTCAATCACACATTCTCCATTAATTTACTATTTCAATTATGAAAAATGGGCTCAATCAGGCACCAGGTTTAAGAATAAAAAATAATAATTGACAAAACGGTAGACAGTATTTATCAATTTTACGAGATAATCAATCATTTTCAATCACACATTCTTCAATAAAATAATATTTTTCATCACATCAATAATTTTTCCTTCTTTTTCAATCACACATTCTCCATTAATTTACTATTTCAAAATACATTCTTCCAAAATAATGTGGCTCAAACAGACCCTAATTCTATTTTTACATTGTTTGGTTGACAACAGAGTCTACTTAATTGTGAACAGAGAAGTCCTTTTTTTTTTTAAACTGTTCGATGGTATATTGTTAAGTGATATAATATAAAAAATGATATACATGTAACATAATTATTATTATAAGCCCATGTTTGGGATACATTGTTTCAAAATACATTATTTCAAAATTCATTTTTAACTACACATTAGTTAATAAAATAATATTTTTCATCACATTAATAATTTTTTCTTACTTTTTAACCACATATTTCTCATCATATCACTATTTAAAATACATTTTTTTCTCAATAATATCCATTAAATACATACTAAATATAACAAATTCCCTACCCCCACTAAGCCATTAAATTTAATTGTTTAATAGCTACTGAACTTTGCATTTAATATCATCTTGGTTACTGAACTTTTATTTATTATACTTAGATCATGACTAACACAAATTTAGGTAGCATCCCATATGTCATTAAATTGTATGTTCAATTAAATAAAAGAATTTATGATTTATTTATTACATGCTTACACCTAAACTGGTGTTAGATGGCATTATTTTTAAACCATTTTGGCATGTTTATATGCCAAGTCGTCCGATCTTTACGGGCTCGTTTAGTTTGCATTTCAATTTTGAATTTTGAGTTTTAAATTTATTTTCTAAAAAGATAAAACTTCTAGATAAAATTTACAGTTGAAAACATGTTTAATTTGTCAATCTGAAAAACTGTTTTTTAAAACAAAAAATCAAAAAAGACGTTTGATTGAAAATTTTGAGAAATTATTCTTGGAAATTTGTTTATTCATTAAAATATAATAATTTATAATAATATATTATTAATAGCTTATTTGAGCCTCATTTTTATTGAAAAATTCATTTAGAAATAGTAGATTGATGGAGAATGTATAGTTAGAAATTAAGCAAAAGTTTTGACTTTGCGTGTAATACTATTTAATGGAAGAATGTGTGGCTGAAAATAAAAGAAAAAATGTTTTTTAAAAATAATTGTGATCAAACAAGGACTAAGTAATATTTATATTTTAAAGTTGGTGAATTTTAAAATATATTTTTTGCGACAAAAGTAAAATAATAAATTAAATTGGCAAAAAAAAAAATTAATGATATATAAACTGAAACATTTAACTGTGTTCATTTAAATAGAGTTTTTCAGAATTTTTATTAAATAATCAATAAGAGCTTGACTATTTTTATTTTCAATAACTTTAGTTCTTTAAAAAATTTTGAAATTTTTATTTTTTCAGAACTTTTTATTTTTTAGATTTTCATAATTTGTTAATTTTTTAGATTTTATTTTTTCAAAATTCTGGTTTCATTTTTTTTTTTTTTGGAATTTTTTTTTCATAAATTTCGTAATTTTATTTTAAATTTTTAGAATTTTATTTAAATACAATTTCATTTAAGTGATTGTTTCTCTTATTTTGAGTGTTATTAAGATTTTCATTGGAAACATTAAAAACGTCAAAAATGCGTTTTGAGTTTTATGATATAAATTAATCTTATTTTATTTGAAAATGCACTTTAAAAAATATCAGATCAAACAAAATTTGAGTGTTTTTTAAAAGTGAAAACAATAAACCGAATGCACCATATTATTTTTGTTTAAATCCTATGACTTAGCACACAAACGTGTAAAATCTACAAATCAAAAGAATGGATGTCAAAATATTTTATGAAGTTTAATTGCAAGAATGGCACTAAATGCATAATTCAATTACTATTAGTGAAATTAACCCCTTGCTTAAGGGTTCCAAGTATTTTACCATTTACTAGGGAAGTAGGAATNTACTTTTGAAATAAAAATATAATTCAAATTTCGAGAATGACATTTGAAATGTCTAGAATACGTAGAGATTCAAATGTCCTTTTTTTTCATTAAGGGTATAATAGGCAGTTTAGTATTAAATTTGAAAATTGGACAATTTTCAACTCACATCCTTAATTGTGGACATTCTTGAAAATACCCCTACTATTTAATGAAAGAATGTGTGGCTGAAAATAAAAGAAAAAATGTTTTTTAAAAATAATTGTGATCAAACAAGGACTAAGTAATATTTATATTTTAAAGTTGGTGAATTTTAAAATATATTTTTTTGCGACAAAAGTAAAATAAAAATGAATAATAAATTAAATTGGCAAAAAAAAAATTAATGATATATAAACTGAAACATTTAACTGTGTTCATTTAAATAGAGTTTTTTAGAATTTTTATTAAATAATCAATAAGAGCTTGACTATTTTTATTTTCAATAACTTTAGTTCTTTAGAAAAATTTGAAATTTTTATTTTTTCAGAACTTTTTATTTTTTAGATTTTCATAATTTGTTAATTTTTTAGATTTTATTTTTTCAAAATTTCTTTTTTCAAAATTCTGGTTTCATTTTTATTTTTTTTTTGGATTTTTTTTTCATAAATTTCGTAATTTTATTTAAATACAATTTCATTTAAGTGATTGTTTCTCTTATTTTGAGTGTTATTAAGATTTTCATTGGAAACACTGAAAACGTCAAAAATGCGTTTTGAGTTTTATGATACAAGTTAATCTTGTTTTATTTGAAAATGCACTTTAAAAAATATCAGATCGAACAAATTTTGAATGTTTTTTAAAAAGTGAAAACAATAAACCGAACGCACCATATTATTTTTCTTTAAATCCTATGACTTAGCACACAAACGTGTAAAATCTACAAATCAAAAGAATGGATGTCAAAATATTTTATGAAGTTTAATTACAAGATTGGCCCTAAATGCATAATTCAATTACTATTAGTGAAATTAACCCCTTGCTTAAGGGTTCCAAGTATTTTACCATTTACTAGGGAAGTAGGAATACTTTATTAGACTTTACTTTTACTTTAATCCTACACTTCCAATTCTTTTTTTTTTTTCTTCTTCTTCTTCTTTATTATTTT